GCCAACATTCCATTTAGATTAGTCACGTTCTTTTCCTTCTGTTTCTCCGCTTCGCTGTGGCCTGCGGTGTCTAGAATGTCCTATTTGGTGACATCTTTCAATGATTGTCCGTTTCAAAATAGGACAATTGGTACTACTATTTGTTCCTTTTCTCTCTTTGTTTCGGGGCCTTTATCTTTGGAGTTGTAGAGAGCAAGCGTTTCACATTTTAGAGACAGTCCATGTCCGTCTTAATAACACAACAACCTCTCATATATATGATCTACTGGTGGTCTCAAAAATCCAACTATAAACCATCCTCTTAATTATGGTTTGCCATATAAGGGACATATTACCAACACAGAATAGAAATCAGAGGCATCTCCTATTAAAATAAACAGTCGATGATACTGCAATCTTATAAGGAAATCTTGAGCCCAATTTAAGAATTCCGCCCATTCGACTTTGAACACGAAACCAAAATTCAAATTGCATTACATTATTAAAAGATGCAAAGAAACACAGCTTTTCATCATATACGCCAAATCAATTTGGCTTATAAAATCGGAAAACCATATGCCTGTCTTACCCCTTGGGGACGCCTGAAGTGTGCCAAGCCAACCTACGGTTGACCTCAAGCAAACGACCCTGAAGACCACAATAGAGCGGATGTCGAACGCCACGGTCGCAAACAGCATAACCAATTACATTACAAAATACGTCGAGAAGCTGGCCTCCTCTTTTACGCCGGCCGCGAACCGTATTGTCTAAGCGATTTACGGCTCGAGAGACCTAAAAGGATATGCAACAGGGAAAGGAATCGCTGCGATTAGATGCTGGAGATTAGAGCTCCCAGTTTTATATGTTGTTAAAGCCTCTATTTTATTTAGAGATTATGTATTCTACTTTATCTCTATCGTCAAAGTTCCTCAACTCAGATAAAAGGTTCTACAGAATGCACTTAATTACGCTATGAGAAAACTCCCTATTCGTAAATGCTAGCTCCTGTTTGATTCTACTGTACCGTTCTGACCAGTTTATTGAAGGCCTTATTCACCTAATCTTTTAGTCTCCTGAGAATGTACTCACCAGCAGACTTAAATGTGCACTTTGACCAAACAGAAGGCTACACCATCTTAGTCCTCATATTTACGATTAAATTTTCACCTTCGATTTATTCGAATGAACGTACTGAGCTATTTTTCACGAGTCTTAATACTTTTAGAGAGATAAGGAGCGCTGTGTTGAGCTTCGTATTTGAAACTCAAAATAAGGAAACTTAATGCATTTCCCAAACGTTTCGCCGGCATCATCAGAGTTTTGCCATTCTTAGCACCACACTACAACGCGTCAGAGACAAGTGAAGCCGATCCTTTGACCAAACGTGTGCTAAACAGTTGTGGTATCTCCCGTTCTGCCCTGGGCTATTCACATTTCCTATATTCTCCTATCACACCTTCACTGTTACAATTTTTATCGTGCTTATTTAGTCTTTGCCGCTCCTTTGAGCGGCATTCATGAAAACCCTCACACTCCACACTGTCGTTATCACCATCCTCACACATAAGGGATTAAAAATCAAAGATTTGCGGTCCACAATCGCCTCAACTAGCGCTTCGATTGCGACAAGATCAGAGCATGCGTCCTCTATCACGTGCCACCACAACCATAACATTCAGCCAGAAACTAATATAATTCGGTGGACTATTATTATCCAAAAAGTTGGGGACTAGATAGGCGTTGTTATGACGAAAAAATAGAGAGCACAGCCCCCAAGAGCTGAACAGATCTTAATTTCTCAATCCCAACTACCGATTACCATGACAAAACTCGAGATCCTGCTTAGTCTGTTATCTTCCAGAAGGACTGAATAGTTTCAAAAGGCGAAAATGTCCCAGTGAGCTTGTCATATAGTCTCTGAATTAGTTGCGCAAATGCAACAAGCCTGTGGCCCCAGCGGTAATAATTTATATAAGAATAACTCTTATGCCATGGCAAGCTCGGCAAACTGTGGGAATTAAGAAAGCAGAAAAAGCAAATCTAAATCCTCATACTTAAAAATAGTTGCCGTAAGAAGATATATAAATTTATGGACTTGCAAATCTGCGAAGAACTAATTTATGATCCAGCCCTTCAGATCGTGATCAATTTAATCTATAGAGGAAGATATAATTCATCAGGAGTTTAGCCCAGCGATTTCGAGTATGCTTTTTTTCGTTAGCCCATTTTAGATAGCGTTCATAGGTGAAGCCATATATTTCACTAAATATGGTGACAGCTCGCCCAGAGACAATTTTTAGCAGGCTCGGTGGCTGGTGCGAGCGAGAAGTTAAGAGTTTTAATTCCCTAGAGTTCCACTGTACAAGTTACCTTCTACATACGAACAGTAAATAGGTTTCGATTAATCTCTTAGGATAACATTATTTGTGAGGCTTTCACTTCGTATGAAAATGCATGATGAAGAGATTCGTTGGCTGATTTCACAGGAAAAATAAGGCCGATTCCCGTTGTTCAGCCACAATTGCATCCGTTACACGCTTCATCTTCGGCCACCTCACTTTTCCACAAGTTTGTAAGGAAAGCATAGGATAGCCAACCAAATCACGAGATGTCTCATTAAGTGGACAAAATTAGGCTATAAGTAGTTATGACCGCAGCTTGTCGTCTTTCCTGTCTTTGCACTTGGTGAATTATCATAAAGCATTGTGTTCTGCTCTGAAGATGTCCGTCATCTGACGGACGGAAGCTCAGCAAGAATTCATCTAAGTCGCGCAACGGTGAGCCGAGGACTTATTCACACAAATCTAGTGGCAG